AATCGACTTACAGGCTTAAATGGGGCTACCATTGGATTTAAAATTTTAATCTTTATCTAGCTGTCATGGATTCGTAAGTAAAATCCCAAAATATATAACTTCACCAGCATCCCTACAATAAACTTTAATACCCATCAAACAGTTAATTACAAACAGCAAACGTTTATCCCTATCGGCATCCTAGCACACCATCTTTCTATCCAGCACCGACCTAAGCGTCCCAATGCTCAACGAACCCATTATAATTTGGCCGGTGTATCGTCTTTTTTTTTTTTTTTTTTTTTTTCTCAACATTTTTCTGCATGATATTCCTCGTTTCATACCAATTACCATTGTCTCCGACTCTCTTGTCCTAAGGTCTCTGGTAAGCATTCACTTTGTCTGTCCTGCCCATACTTCTTCTTCCTATAACAAGGGCAGCCCTTTCATTTGTGTTTGCTCCCACGTGCTTTGATGTATACAGCCAATATATTTTTCTGAGGCAGGACTTTTAGATTCTATCAACCCATTCTAAGTCAACGTTTGCCACTTATGACACTCTTAAGCATGATCATTGAGTCTGTGACTCTCAGTGAGTGTGTTGCTCTCTGCTCCGCCTGCCATGCATGTGGTCATGTGACAGCTGCTTTCTTCATTGTAATACTTTACGTATCAAAACCTTTTTGCTGACTCTTGTTTTACCAAGCTGTCATTCTACTGCACCCTTTACGCCAACCCAGACCGAATCCTACGAATGACTAAGCTATTTGTGTAGATGATGAGTATTTTCGTGGATTATGGCCTGGCGCCTGGTCCATCGCATATCTTGCAATCATGTGGGCAAGGTTGAGGACATATCATATGGAATATGATGAGGTATCTCATGTATACCAGAGGGTCAGTCATTTTACTTCACTTTGCACTTTCACTGGCCTCCAGCATATGTCTGCTGGCTGAGGAAGATCAGTCACTGACAGCACCAAATACCCAAAAAGCCTGTGCAGAGTCTTTGTCCAATCTTCACATTCACCCAGACCGCCGTCAGGTCTTTATTATTTTTTAGAATGACATGCTCGACATAATATCCGAAAGATAGAGAGCTGTCAAAGTGGATGCCAAGAAAGTTATGGTCTAGTGACCATTTGTTATCATTTACACCCTAGCAATCTTGACGATTCTGTGTTTAGTGAGAAAAATGTCACCGTAGTCATAAATTTTACCCTAGGCCCTGACTCCTCAAACAATCAGGTCAGTCAAGCATGGTCCAGCTGCAGGATTTAACTTCTTTTTTCTGTCTGTACCCTGCCGATACGTCAGCGTCAGCAAAGGCCACGGTGTTCCCCATTCGCTCTTCCTGGGCCCCTGCTGTGTTTATATTAAGTAGAACAGGTGACAACGGTTACACCTCCAGTAACTCGGACATGATGGTCAGCATGATGATAGCAGCACTACCGCTCTGTCAAAAAGACAGCCTCTGATCCAGTTGATCAAGGTTGGGTATTATCAATGGCTAGTCAATGGCTACTGCAGCTGTTTTAGTGCAAGCCTAGAAGGCCTCTTAGGATTATTAAGCAAAGTCTGCGACACTCGTCCTTGGTGTCCTTCTCGATTCAAAATCCTTCAAAAAGGTCAGGGGTGCCGGAAGGGGGAGGTGGGTAACCAATCGGCCTTCAAAGCCATGCTAGTATGCGCTTCGTGATCTGTTCAAGGAGTTAATCTATCGAACTTTTTATGGTGCTAAAACATTATGATTGGGGTTAATATTATGAATATTACACGTAACCTGTAAGCCTTGACACTGTGAAGTGATGTTTTTTTATTACCACGGTTTGTTAAGTCAGTTTCCACACACTATAATATACGGTTTAGTCATCTAAGCTATACAGTTATGTTCTCAAAGCCACACTGTGAGTGTGCCTTCTGTATGAAATGTCTTTCCTTTGTGTCTGCAGCAGTTTCAGTTATGATTTTCAGAAACTTCTAGCTAGCTTGTGGTCAAGCTTACAATGTGTCTGACGCAATAATATTGCATCTGTGCTGCTTACTCGTCGTGACTGACTAATTTCATCAAGACAAATTGCAATTCTGGTGGCAGAATCTTGGTGTGGCACCTCTAGCGAGGTCTTATGCATTTACGGCCTCAGTATGTTTCTGATCTTTGCAGGGACTAATTGTCTGCTCATTCGTTTTCAAATAGAACAGAGATGGTTATTTTAATTGATTAAAACGGGTACATGAATGGAGCAAACACGACGTGACACAGACCAATCTCGACTTACTTACACCTCAAATGTCAATATGTAAAGAAACCCATGGATATGTCTTTACATCAAAACATTGACTGGAAAACACTTAAAACAACAGCGCGACTTATATACCACAAATTCCCCATGTGGGTTCCGGGACCCTGTTATAGGGAAAATAAAATTACACCCTAAAACCATTTCGTAAGAGTCCACTAATTTAGAGCTTTCTTCAAAGACGGAGTGCATCAGCTTGAGAGGCAAGGAACCAGCAGTCTGCATGTAAACGAGTCAGATCTGTAAAACGGATGCACACGCAGCACTCAGGTTCTGGAACACGATTGCAGTCCAGAAGTGGATGAACAACCATAACTTTCCGCCAACGTTTACAGCTGGTGAACGAAAAGAAAAAGAATGCTACAGCTTCATTGTCTTCACAAAGGCATTTGATAGTGTGCAGCATGTTGAACATTAAATGTAATATTCAAACACTTTATGAAAATGCAAGCAGTGCATTACTCGTGTAAAATTAAACTGACCAATCTCTGTAAATAGGTGTGGGAGTGAGATGGCCGTTTATTATCAACATGCTTTTAAATTTGTTTTTGGAACACATCATGAAATAATGAATAAAAGGCTGGACAATAATGAAGTATCTATATCCAATGACGGAAGACCACTATATAATTTACCTTATCGCATTTCACGAACTCCGTAGCACCGGCGAGATCCTAACTTAATTTTCTAACTGCAAATATTGTTCGGGCAGCACCCTTAGGCTATTCTCTTTTTGAGCGTCCGATCTTACTATCCAGAGACCAGAGAATTTACTTGAAGTCCTCAAAAAACAAACAAAAATCCAAGCTTTCACAGGGACCTGAAACAGGGACCTTCTAAGGTACCTTAGGCAACTAGCATTATCTTCAGGGCCAACAAATGGTCAAGATTACCTCCGCTTATGTAGACTGAGCAGAGATAAGCAACTGCACGGCCTTCCAGGATCACTACATCAGTAACCCCTGACAGATCACAGTGTACGTCCACAGTGGTGCTGTCTACTATCTGCATCCTCTGGTTGGTACAGGCAGCATTAGACCCCTGGCTCAAAGACACTCTCAAGTATTTTAGGTCAGCTGATCCTAAAATGGATATAGATTTTCTTAGTGGCGTCTCACCGTACATACATACATACATCCATCCATCCATCCATCCATCCATCCAGACAGACAGACAGACAGACAGACAGACAGACAGACAGACAGACAGACAGACAGACAGACAGACAGACAGACAGACAGACAGACAGACAGACAGACAGACAGACAGACAGACAGACAGACAGACAGACAGACAGGTAGGCAGGCAGGCAGGCAGGCAGACAGACAGACAGACAGACAGACAGACAGACAGACAGACAGACAGACAGACAGACAGACAGACGCCCGCCCGCACGCACGCACGCACGCACACGCGCACGCACGCACGCACATCCATGCATACATAAATACATACATACATACATACATACATACATACATACATACATACATACATACGTACATACATACAGACATACATACATACATACACATACATACATACATACATACATACATACATACATACATACATACATACATACATACACATACATACATACATACATACATACATACATACATACATACATACATACATACATACATACATACATACATACATACATACATACATACATACATACATACATACATACATACACATACATACATACATACATACATACATACATACATACATACATACATACATACATACATACATACATACATACATCACATACATACATACATACATACATACATACATACATACATACATACATACATACATACATACATACATACATACATACATACATACATACATACATACATACATACATACATACATACATACATGTACTTTCATCGCCATCGACTACAGCGGCATCGCTCATTGTTGTGTATGCTAGATCGGCTGTGTACAAACACATTGAGTAGAAATGTAACAATCTCTATGCAAACATACAAATTAGTTTTTGATGTTTAACATTACGTTGCACACCAATACCATAATCTCCTGGCTCTAGATTTACCTTAGAGTTTGTCTGTTGAGCAGTTTCCTTTGCCATTGAACGATCGGTTCGCTACGTTAAGAAACGAGAATGCAGTAAGAGATGTTGGTGTATCAAAGTGGCAAAACTTTTGCTATCAATTATTCAGATGAAAGGTAGAACAAGTTTTCTACTGGCTCCTGTATTGGTTTTTAAGAGAAGTCCCCTGTGTTATCAGTAAGACGTCAACAACTTTACTTGGATGAGGCGACGTAGCACTTTACCAACTCTTATCCGTCGACGTGGCACTTCACTAAATCTTTCCTAGCCATGTTGCATTTTACCAACACTTTCCTGGCGTAGTAACAAATCACCATCTTTTTCCTGGCGTGTTCCTGGCCACCAGCTCTTTCCTGGCGATGTAGCACTTTATTATTTTCTTGAGAGAATGAGGCATTTTGTAACCAGACAGCTGTTGTGACCTAGCACTACACTCTTTCAAAGGCAAGACGGACATATACCCAGAATGTGACCGGTGCCATCAGTATTAAAACTCTTCGCTGGCTACTGAAGACGAGAACAGATCACGCATGGTAATGCCCCGAATGCTGTGATGTCAGTTCTTGACTCAACTTAACACACATGGTAATCAAAAGACGCATAAAACAGTTGAACATACACAATTAAAACATAAATACATTTTTTTGACCGAAAATTTGAAAAGTCGTTTGAGTAACCATGACAGGAAGAAAGGACTCATCACATGACAGCACAACAAATGACCAATACTTATAAATAGAAGTCAGTTCTGAAAAAAAGAGAGTATCCTCATTTATCCAGACTTGCAGTGTAATGATTGTTGACTTACGACCATACCCTATTATAAGTTGGCAGACACAGTTCAACAAACTCCCGTGACTATTTTTCTGATGTTGTAAGGAATATACTAGACCTGATTAAATTTGCTCCTATTGCATCGTCAGCGGCGTCCGTGGCTAAGGCGTTGCGAGTCTGACTCGTAAGCCAGCATACCACGATCGAAACCCACTGCAGGGGGCGTGGATTTTAAATAGTCGTCAGTACTGGGACGTCGCAGGTCGACCCAGCCTAAAAGACTTGCAGTGAATGGGCTGTTGGGAAAGTAAAGACCACACCCGGCGTATAATGCTGACCACATTACCCACAGAGTGCTGATGTTCTGTAAAAACTGGGACGCTCTGCCCATATGCCCGATGCGCCGAAAGGCGTGAAAAGGGAACTTTACTTTTTTTTTTTTTTTGCATCGCCAGACAAATAATCACCGAATGGTCCACGTGGAGCAGCAGTACATGGTATTAAACATTTAAACAGGAATAGTATGCTTGATAGCATCAAATAGGAGTGGGACACACTTAGGTACCCCTGCTGGCTGCGTGGATTTTTATCATGGTGTGTGGCAGCGCAGATGGACCAAGCCTAAAATGGGTACCAGGATGGCTGTTCGAGGGAAGTACAGACGGCCGGCGTAATGCTGACCACATTACCCACCTAGTGCCGATTGGTCTGTAACAATATTGGACGCTCTTCCCAAATACCCGATGCACCTAAGGCGTGAAAGGGGATCTTTACTTACTTACTCACCCCAAAGCGTCTTTAACAGAAGCAGGTAAAACAGCTGCCAAAAGAAAAATGCCGGTTCTATGTAAGTGTTTTGTTACTTTGTTGTTCTTCAGTATTGTCCAATGATTTATTTCCTTGATTTCATTTATAAAATATTTCAACTTTTCATTGGATGACTTTATATTCACTTCATATTTGCAGTCGTTTGTCTGTTAGCTGTGTAAATATTGAGAACTTCGTCTGTTCTAATTGTGTTTAATGCTAATTTCTTATGCTCTTTTTCTTCTACGTTTAATCTAGAGGTCCTTTCTGAACTTTTTCCGTGACTACAGCAAAAACGTAAAAGATCGCAAGGGGGATTTCATTTCCGTAATTTGGAACGTCTTTCCGATGGAATTTATTTGAAGGATAAATACGAATACGAGGAGAGAAATTCCATTTTTTTTTTCAAATAACAGACTCATGAAACATGCTGAGAAAGTTAGAGGCAGTTATACTTGGCACAATCCGCCAAGTATCTTTTCTAAAACCTTCGTAAACTGGTGAAAACATACTGACACATATACCTAGCGATAGGAAATATGCAGTCACCTACCGTACTGGCAGGCGGGGCCAAACCATCCACCCACACATGTGTTTGCCTCACTACACTCGCCTGTGGCATCACATGTGTCGTTGAAGCAATGACATTTGTACTTACACTGATCGCCAAACCAGCCAGAAGGACAGCCTGGTGAATGTTATGAAACCTAATGCAAGAGACAGCAAATCTTTACAGTGATAACGCATGTCGCATAGCTATATCCATCGGGTTCTTCTTCAAGCAATTGTTATCATCATCAGTTAGCTGATTCTTTACGGAAAGCAGCTCCAGTCTCAACATGCCTTAAAAAAAAATGTAGTTCTAAGTAAGCTCTTCAAACTCAAACCCAAATTGTCTTTTTTTATTGGGTGTCCATCTTCGTGCTGGCCGGCCGCTTTCTCTTTGACCCGGTGCGATCCTCTCGGCGACTATTCTTCTCAATCCTCTGTTTGATGTGCTCAAAATATTTCAGTTTCGCAGACAATATGCTGTTAGCGACAGTTTTACTTGATGTCCACATCCTTGGCTGTGTCAATACTTCTTTTCTGCTTGGTTCATGGTATTCTGAGAAATGTTATGTGCAGTTTCAGCCCAGAAAAACGAAAGAAAATGCAGCGTAAAGAAAACCACAGTTTTCATGCCGGGGAGTGTTTCTTCCCTTTTGTTGCAAAATAGACCTCTACTAACACCACTTGGTAGTACCTTCATTACACACGGCCGTGATAATAAACAAATGTAGTTTGTTAATAACTTTAGAGTCCGAGTAGATGATTACAGTTTCTAACAAGGTGCACATCAGAGCACTAATCTTTAAATGTCATGAGTTAAAATTGTACAATTATGTTTTAGAACGAATTAGAGTAACAACAGCACACAAAAAGTTGATGAAAACTACACTACGTATGGAGTGAGTAAACAACGTATGGTGAATTTATGGGTACTAAAAGAGTTCAAAAAATTATCAATTGGGTTTTACTGTTTTTTTTTTTTTTTTTTACTAGGCTCATATGATTAATCATGCTTATGTAGCCAGAGAACTTTGTTTATGTGGATACGAACATCATATTGTTAACATACGCAAACGATATAACAGACATGCACTCTACAGCAGTGGTTTTCAACCTGTGAGGCACGACCTTTTTTGGGTTTTAGGACTATTTCACAGGGATCGCCAAAGACAATGGGACAACACACATCCAATGAGGTTATGAAGTAGAAATGTTATATTTAGGGGTTGCCACAACCTAAAGAACTGTATGAAAGGGTCCCCACAACACGACGAACTGTAAGAAAGATCGGACATTAGGAAGGCTGAGAATTACTGCTCTACAGGTAGTAGAGAGATTTCAGGTCTGACCAGTCAGCGTTCCGCAGAAATCTACTCAGTATGGATCAGTAGAGCACACGCGTAGCACCTTAACTCGTATACGGAGTTAAAGCCTATTTATGGGAAAACCATCGAAAGAGAGAATGGAAAGAAGAAGATATAAGTACCATATTTATTGGTAAGTAAAGATGTTGTTTGTAATTAAAGATGACTCGACAGTTAGATAGAAGTCAAAATACAGAGGGCAAATGCTGTCACCTACCGGTTAGACCCACTATCTCCCTTCCAGCAAAACAGCAAACTCACATATCTCCCTTCCAGCAAAATAGCAAATAAATAATAACGTCTGTATCCCAGCTTAATGTAATTAATGTCAAACGTGGACAATAAATAAGACACTAGAACAGAAAATAATCACATGTGAAAACCGCTGCAGTAGATAGAAAGTTGAAATAAGACCATGTCTGAATTATATTGACAGGTAAAGAATGAAATAGTTCTGCCAGACCAGACTGCATCTGAAACTATTTTACAGTAGAACATCTGGGAGGAGGGTGAGAGGAAGACCAATAAAGAGATGGATGAGTTGTGTAGTTAAAACCTGCAACAGGATAAACAAATCCATCACTCAGGCCACCCAAAAAGCACAAGACAAATAAAGAAAACTGAGACACTGGGCTACGATCTAGTATCAGTGAGACGAGAAAACCGAGACACGGGGCTACAACATGGTTTCGATGAGACGACAAAACCACGACACGGGGCTACAACCAGGTATCAGTGGGACGACAAACGAAAGAAGAAGAAGTACGGATGTCCAGTTTGGTATTAACCATTAACAACCATCGATCTGATGTGTCTGCTATATTGGTTCGAAATAATACTGACTATTCCTGGGTTGGTCCAAATGGTCATCTACCTACCGACAAAGCATACTCGAAGACACGGTGTCTGTATCGATGTTCACCAGAGAAGCACACTTCCTCTATGATCTGGCAACTTTTCATTGCCGCCCGAAAAGCAGACAACAAACAAGCCGCCATTTTGTTAACCCAGTCAGAGTTTCATTATTATGTAATCAGTATGGAGCAAAAAAACTCAAATTAAATTATGTTTAAAACTCAGAAAAAGCGCCATTGCGACAACTGAATTAATGCGACAAGTTTATGGGGATTATTTCTTATCTCGTGCACATATTTTCAGGTGGTATTCACGATTCAAAACTGGTCTGGAAATTATTACTAATGCAATGAGACACAGGCGCCCGATTTCTGTTCGTCATGAGGAACTCATTGCAAAATTCCGGAAACACTGGCACTCAAGGTGTATAAAAAAACTGTGATGGTACTCAAAATGTCTAAAACTGTGATAGTACTCAAAGTGTCTAAAACTGTGATGAAACTCAAAGTGTATGAAACTATGATGGTACTCGAAATGTCTAAAACTGTGGTGGCACTCAAAGTGTCTAAAACTGTGATGAAACTAAAAGTGTATAGAACTATGATATTACTCGAAATGTGTATAAAAATATGATGATACTCAAAGTATCCAAAAAGACGATGGTTTTCAGTGTATAAATCATCCACGGTGCCCATCACAAAGTGTCTGCTTCAGCAGGTCTGAAATAAATGATGCCTTGACAGGTGCCAAAATTGCACGGCTTTTCATGTCAAAAAAAAAAAAAAGCTTTTCGATTAACAAACTTGCACTTATCACCTAGTTATTAAAGGCAAGACAACATGCAAGGGATCTCGCGAAAAAAAAAAAATCATCCTGGAAATCCGATGCGTTTGTAGAACTTTCGTCTCATATTTCCGAAGGATTACGTTCAGACGAAAACCTGAAATGAGGCCTTATCTCTTTTATTCCTGCTTCAGGTTTCAGAGCCATATAAAACGACTGGTCTTTTCAACGTTTCATATATTTTGATCTTGGTGTTGCGAGACAGACACTTTGACTTTAGCAGATGTTGAATGGCATAGTATACTTTATTTCTAGATTGTATTCTAGATTGTATTTCTTCTCTCAGCATGTTGGAACAGTTAAAGTTTGCACCCAAATAGTTATATCTTCCCGTTCGTTTGATTTTCATATTATCAACTTGTATGTGGCCGGAGTTTATATTCTTTCAATGTCTAGCTAGTATTCGTACAGAATAGTAAACATTTAAAAACATTTTATGTTCTGCATCCTTCAGTCAGTCTGTGGTAACTAATAACTAGGATTGAAAGAATCCAAAGTATTATAACAAGTAACTAAACTTGGAAATTGTCACTGACAGCTTAGTTAATGCAGGAAAGCTGCATTAGCTTTCAACAAAACCAATAGTTCCATGTTGTCAGTATTAAGGCCGTGTATGCAGAAGCGGATGTAAGGTAACTAATATTCGTATTCGGCCCGACCGCAGCTATTCGGCCGAATACCGAATAGTCAATAGGTCCACTATTCGGCCCAGGAGCGAATACGAAGCGAATTTTCGGTACAACCCTAATATATAAATACATATATATATGTATGTGTGTGTATGTGTATATCGCGTCTAGCATTTTAAAAATCCGTTACCTACTTGTCTGAGAATACACATAGAAGAGAAACAGAAGACACAGAACATCAGTTATAGCCTCAGGTCTCATTGAATCCTCTCTGTAAAAGGTTGATATCTCCTCGTATAATTACCACTGCAAGTTAATAATATAATATAATAATAATAATACAGATGGTGATGATATTATTGATATATATATGATTATATATATATACACACACACACACACACACACACAGCCACCTATGCAATCTTAAAAATATCCTGTGAGAGTTATTTATGTTTGAAATGTCGCCGTTTAGTCTTACCCAAATCGCTCTAATATGGAGTATAGACAGCTTGCACAGACAAGTGCAAACACAGAGTGTCCAGTTTGCAATGATGCTAGAAATACGAATAACCTATTACTTGAAACTCACTATATACTTTTACAGACCAATCCGCACTAGGTGGGAAATGTGGTCAGTATTACACGGGCCGTCTTTACTTCCCCAGGACATACATCCTGGCACCCATCCATTTTAGGCTGGGTCACCTACCATTTAGCAAAGACTGATGGCTGCCTACTGGCGGAGCGATTAAGTACACACAGATTTCTTCAAGGAGACCCAGCCCTAATCCTCAGTAAAATAATTCTTTTCAAGTAATGATCTGTTAATCTGCAGCACTGACGAGACTTCATGAACTTTAACATTAAAAAGGGTGAAGCCAGCAGACAATAGCGCTACACAGGGGCTTAAACAAGAACTTGTGTCATCAGTCACTACACGCTGAGGGAGATTCTGAAGAAGGGATTTGAACACTTTTGGTATGAATGATTCGATATGCGATGACAATAATCTCTAGACTAACTAACGACTAACTAACTTTTTGTCTGTCGGGTAGCAAAATTTCTTGTCAAACGAACATCTTCCTTCACCCCATAAGTAATCAACAACCTGCATGCACATGCGTCAGACCTGTTAAACGGATGTGAACGCAACACTCAGTTTCAGGAATAGGACTAGAGTCCAGAAGGGGACGAAATTTCCGCTGGAGTTTACAGCCGGTGATCTTGAACAAAAAAGGACGAAGAAGTATATGTGCAACCATTCTAAGATTCTTACTTGTAACTACAGGAACTGGTCACTTCAAGATCGTTGCCATTGTTTCTTTTTGACAACACTGGATCATGTCATGGTCATCAAGGGTGCAGAAAGGTTGTTCCCCGTTTACCTCTGTTTTCCCCTAATTTAATTTGTTGATGCGCAGTCCTTTTTTTTTCCTTCCCCCTGAGGTTATTACCTTGTAGTGTTGGGAGAGCTTGGGAGCCTTAGTGATCTAGTAAGCTTTGCCGGCGGGAGGGTATGTTCCTGCCAGGGTCACCCAAGCGGGACAGGTCATTGGTGAGGGGCCTGACTAAAGATGGCCTGCCGGTCCTCCAGGCTCGGGTATTTGACGCAGTGATGACAGCTCTGTCCTGTTTAAAAAAAAAAAAAAAAAAAAAATAGTTTTTTTTTTTTTTTAAACAGTTTACAGTTTTTTACAATACAACGTTACTGAAACTTCAAGAGGTAATAAATTCTCTAAACGTCCGGCGGTCTTGGGACAGAGTCCCTCTGACAGCATAACGACAAATCTGACATGGAAAACTGCACTAAAGATTGCACAGGGCAGGAAAGCTTGGAAAGTCCTCCTTGAAGCTTTATGTGCTACTAGGCATAGAGAAAACTGATTCTTCTTCTTTTTTTTTTTTTTTCGTTAGCTTAAAATATATTTTTTACATCTGCAATATTTTCTCTAGTATGATCTTCACTGTCTTTTGTAATTACCCTAGCGACCCGTGAAGTTTGACTG